AGATGCAGGAGTCTTTCCACGGAGTAGATTATGTCCAGACGCAGTTCTTCTGGTGGGTTGAGTGCTGCTGGGTCCATATCTGGTCGCGTCGTACTGTCATGAATCGCTGTGCGGCAGGCGGGAGTTGGACCCAAAATGCAGGACTCACAGACTCGAGGGAATGAACTCAAAACACAGCTTTATTTGCCGGTAGAACAAACATACAAACTAAACTAAACTGGGAAACCACAAACTAAGAACTCACAGCGAGACACAGGGAGATCCACACACAGCATGAGGGACGACGCGACACTGACTCAGAGAAACACAGGGTTTAAATACACTGGGGAGTAACGAGGGGAATGAGACACAGAAGGAGGGCACAGCTGGGAGAAATCAGGACTGACGAGACAAGCAAAGCAGGACACATTCACATAAGAAACGGACCTTCAAAGTAAAACAGGAAGGATCACACAGAGACGCGAACTTGACAGTGGAGACAGCAACTAAGAAACACAGAGACATAACCTATAAGGCAGAGGACTCTAAGAACCGAGAGACACAGAGGGGAACTCAAATATGCAGACACAGACTTACACAGAACAGAGGGGACACAGAGCAACATGAAGGGCAAGGGATCGAAACTAGAAACCATAGAATAACTCACACAAGTACAATAATACAAACATCACACAAAGAACTAAAAACGCTGGGTCAGGAGACCCAGGACCGTGACATTAGTGTCATTCTGGTCCTTCAACTGGCTCTCATTCTCTGTAATTGTGAATGTATATGAATTAAATTTGTGTGTATCTCGTATTTTTACTTTTTACATTATAAATGCTATTACCTAGTCATAGAAGAATGATGGCGTGAAAGTAAACATTTTTCCACCAAAATTTTATTTCAATTCAGATGATCAAACATCTGATCTGTGCTGCATCTTCTAGGGGTTTCAGCAGCAGCAGCCACAATCACTAAAAGCATAATTTTTTGTTGCAGTGCTACAGGTGGGCAGTATGCAGGTATTTAAAGCCTTAAAGGGAGAGGTATTCACTATGCACTTTTTACATTTATGACCTAGCATATTTCCTTTTGCATAGCCTACCATGCAGCACCATTTGTTATCCTTATCACATGAAAGATGACTGCTATATGCTGGTCTAAAAATGAAATGATACCAGTATGCACTCTTCACACCAGTGATTTCAAAATCCACATCACACTGTGAAAAATGAATTTCGAAGCCACAGATCAATCATCGCACCCATCTTTATTTGAATTTTTGCAGTCAGAATTTGTCTTCCTGGTTAGTAGAGTTGGATGTCTCCGGTCTCGAGACCACTTTTATGTGGTCTTGGTCTTATCTTGGTCTCGACGGACTTTGGTCTTGGTCTTGTCTTGGTTTCGCTGTCTCGGTCTTGCTGTCTCCGATCGACATAGTGGTTGGGAGATTTGAAGTCAACAGTATCCATGTCACACAACGTAACGTTCGATAATGTGTCATGAGCAAAAGCAAAAGCTCTAAGAGCCGTGCTTAGAGAGTGCTTTGTAGTGAATCAGCTGCTGCTCAGCTCTCACATAGTGGCTCAGCTATGCTCCAATTCCTCCATATTGTGGCCAATCACATGCAAGGATATAGGATAATATCATTATGTGAAAAACAGAGAGGGTGAGAGATGCGACAGTTAAGTGGAGCATGCGTCTGTCCTCTCAGTAAGTGAGTGAGACAGTACACAGCGATGAGGAGGGCTGTGTGAGTGCATCGCAAAAACATATAAATATGCCTGACTAGGGATGGGTATTGATAAGATTCTCACGATTCCGATTCCATTTTTGATTCTGTTTAACGATTCGATTCTTTATCGATTCTCTTATCGATTCTTATTTTTAAAAAAGGAGAACACTAAGGTTGATTAGCTTAGAACTTTGTTTGATATCTTCTCTTTGAACAAGACAGACATTTAGGAGTAACATGGCCTTACAAACCCAACAGTGAGATCTTAAGAGATCCACAGCCTATGGCTCTTCGATGGGGTGTCACAGGGTCCCCAGGAAACAAAAGTTGTAAATGTAAAATAATAAAATAAATATTCTTCTGTAGCAATAACAAAGTATAACATAAATTATTCTGTAGCAATTAACACAAGAATATCCAGTAATGTCCCTGCCTACAATTAAACACATTCACTTACTGAAAATCGGGGGCATCTGCTCTGGCAAATGGGTGCAAGCCTTTTACCACAAACTTAGTCACTGCTCGGTGACATTCGTCTATCTTGGCCTGAAAGGAAATGCTACCGGTAGACTGCAGCGAGAACTGCCAGCATCTGAGCCAGCCAGACTCTGTCTCTCTCACCATGGTCACCTAAATGCACAGTAATGGCAGGTTTTGTAATAAGGCAGATCGCGCTAACATAATATGCACTGTTAGTTGATTATTTACCTGCCGCATTAACGGCAGAGGACATGCAGACGTTACCGCTGCTGCTAGGTTGAGATTCACGAGTCCGGAGCGGAATTAAAAACATGACATTCATTTAAGGTTATCGCGTGTTTTGTGAGCAAATGCTTTTGCATACTCGTAGTGTTTCCTCCCTTAAATGAAATATCTACTTTTCAAGTATTGCAAGTTGCCCTGTTGTCATCCGTTCTCGTAAAGTATAACCAAACTTTTGAGTGTTTGAGCCGCTTAGGCGCCGTGTTTCCTGCCAGGTAAATGACGCTCCGCAACGTGGTGACGTCATTCGGGGCGACTGGAATCAATAAGGGAATCGTTTGCAAAAATGCCAAACAATTCCAAGGAATTGAAACAGTGGGAACCGGTTCTCAACAAGAACCGGGTTTCGATACCCATCCCTATGCCTGACACCCATAAACGAAGCAGCATCTGGCTGCAGTTGAAAGACTTTTTTGTCTCGGTCTCGTCTTGACTTTATCTTGTTCTGTCTTGGTCTTGGTTTAGGTGGTCTTGACTACAAGTGTACTTTTTGAAAATGAGTTTAGAAAAAGACATCCCATTTGAATTTGTTTGAAAATGAAAAGCACATTTGTCCTCCCTGAACACTCTACAAACCCATTAGACAACCTGCACATTCAACCTATCTCTGTACTAACCCTACTTGTGTGTTCTAGAAAGTTCTGAATCAATGCCCATTGTTACACAGGTAAGTTGCGGTCTGTTGCAACTGTTCTGTGACCAATTTTTGTGACTGGACTTACCCTTCTCTCCTCGGTGCTGATGCCAGCAGCCTCAGGAAATCCTGTGAAGAAAGATTAATGGAATCAAGAAATTTCTGTGTGGAAGAGAAATCAGTTTGGAGGAAAACCTCTTCTTGGAATTGTGGCGAATTTAGTTTTGACATATTGCAATATGTGTCTGCAATAAACTGACTTAACTTTGAATTTATATGTCCTATGCTTGTGTCCATGCTTGGTTTAAGACAAGAATGATTTGCTGTAAGGCATCAGCTCTTACCACAGCACAACTGCATTGCCCTGCATTGCAAACAGGAACACATGTTGGTTTGTCCAGACTCACTGTCCAGAGGGGAAAACTAAATAAAGCCATAAAAATTTTGCCCATGCCATTAAGCTCCTGGTGCACAGATTTTATACTAATGATAATGCCAGAAGACATTTCGAGTGTTGGTACAGCAGAGCTCCCCACTTTTTGATGTTCACGTGCTCCGCCACTTTGTGATTGAGCTGCTGTGGTTCATAATGCTTAACTCTATAATAACACCACTTGCAGTAAATTGTGGGGGAAGAAATTTACAGAAACTGTTTATGTATATGCATACACATGCACACTGCCTTTGCAGGCATTCTGAAAACCTGGCATGGCGCTATAACAGGATGCAACAAGTCAGTTCTTGAAGTTTTTGTGGGTTAAGGTGACTGTTGGGTCTGTGTTTCCACAAACCCCGCTAATTCTAGAGAGTTATTCATCATGAAGAAAACAAGACAGTCGATCGATCGATTATTTGCGCAAGGGAGGCCTCGTCTGTGTCCACCACGAAAAATGACCCCCAGATCTGACCTCCTCCTGCTACCTTTTATTGAGAGACAGTTCACACAAAACATGTCAGAACAAAGCCACGCCCCCTTGGTTCTAAGACAAAGCATTTTATGTATATGTGTGACCTCCTGCTGACCAAAGGGTCGTAAACCCAGGAAGCTTACATCAAAAGAAACAGATCTTTCAGATAGGATGTATCTACAATAAAACCTCCCCCAGCACAGAGTGGTTGGGGAGGTGGTCAGGATCAAAGGAATGGCTTTGATCCTGCTGCTTGAACTAAGACTGTACAAATTTAAGAAACACAATGGCAACATTCAACAATTAGACTTAACAGTGACCTTGACATTTTGTGGCTGAATTGCTATCGTTGCCAATCACTTGGGAACACTGTGTCCACCACATTAATTTAACTGAACTAGAAATCATATAAATAAATATGACAATAAAAACTGACAAGATACCAACCTGCAGAAGTCTATTACACAGAGCACCAGGAACAGGGCCAGATATAGAATTACCCCTATTTATTAGCGTTGTTTCTGGGGTATACCAGAAAACCAGGATTCATACCTAGAAACTTTACCAAATAATCAACAATGTGGTTTGTTTTTATTGTTTATATCTCATATGTACTCTAAGGCAAAAATACAAATGTCAGTGTCACGTATGTTTAAAGCCAGTTTTATCAGTAGAAGAGATGTGCCATTCTTTGTATAAAAACTGTAAAAAGTACCTACATGTAGGCCGAAAAGTCAGGCAGTAAAAACCCCCACAAACCTTTAATGACTGTTAACAAAATCCAGAATCATACAAATTAAAATAGAAAATCTAAGCAGAGCAAAAAGAACACAAGTAACTAAGTGTATACTAACCGAGCTACATATCACAGAATGATTAGTGAAGGCAAAGACAGGAAGTTGAGGCACAGGTGAGACATAATCAAGAGCAGATACCAAAGTAAAATAAGAAGTTAAAACAAAAAGACAAGCAAAATACAGACAAACCATGTGTTGACTTTACACATGGCGTATGCGTGTTAAAAACATTTTGGTGTGTGTTCAAGAACATTCTAAACAGTTTCTGTTATTTGGCAGTTGTGTTGTTTTCAATTTTTTAAATTAACTGACCAAAAGAGGAAGATTAGCCGATTAACTGTTCAGTCTGTCAGCTCTTGACATAAAGGACAGGGAAATGTGATTGGCTATTTGCTCTTCAGTGCAATAAAAAGGGAAGTGACAAAGGGAGTGAAAAAAGGCTCAGTGCAAGTTTTAACAGCTGATGTCTCTCAGCCTACTGTAGTGCTACACAGGCCAGCAGACATGGAGACTAATAGCAAAGAAACACTACAAGCAGACTTTGATGTATTTGATATTTCTGAAGAGTTTGGATTTCTACTTGAAGAGCCACTGGTAGGTTTCACCCTTATCTTTTCTCTTCTAATGATGCAATGTTCTCATCTGAGACACATTTTGTTTTGCCATATACTGGATAAATCAAGGAGGTTTGAAACTGAAGGATAATATAACATTGACTATGCTGTATATGTTGTTTATCCTCACACACATACCTTAGCAGCAGCCTTAATTTAAACGTTTGTCCAGCTAGATAACAGTCTCTCTAGCCTAATTATGCTTGTTTTCTAGAAATATAACGAAGGACTACTTATCTGTTGTGAGCCTGTCTCTTTAAGTCTTTAAGTCTGCTACAGCATTTAATAGAATTAATTGAATCTAAGTTGTATAAGTCAACTGATAGAAACTATTGATACATATTTCTCAAATTGGATAGTTGTAGTTCTTTGGGTTTGATTTCTAAATGTAGCAAAATGTAACAGCATTAATCTCTGACGCTCATAAAAAAAATATTAGTCTAATATTGTTTCTGTTTATGGTATAGCCTATAGTTTCCATCTCCCTGCCCTTTTGGACCCTGTTTTCTGCTTGGCAGGGCGTTGCCTTGTTTATTATGGCCTCTTTTAAATTGCTTGCTGTTGCTGATTGATGACTCCAGTCATTTGTTGACATGCAGGTCAGGCACCATGGAAAACATGAGCTGATGATGTTACTGATTACACTCTACATGAAAATCCACCACGCAAAAAACAATCAAAACCCAATGAGCAAGTCATTTTATTCCTATTATTTTCTAGACTCACCTCCCAGACCATTATCAGGTGTGGCTGGACCTCGCAAATAATCTCATACATCTGATAGAATCACGTAAACTACGGGATCTGGTTGATAAGGTCAGAATGAGCAAAGCCTTCCAAGTACAAAAATACTGACAGGCCATACATGTAAATGTGTACAGGTGTATTTTTGAGAGACCTGATGATGATCACCATTCCCAATAAAAATAAATAGATTTAAACAGAAAATCTAATCACAATTCAGATGCCGGTCTTGAGTCCAGATCTTTTGAGTGACCATCGGGAGCTTAGGCTCGCTCACCTAGCACTAGGATTCATCAGCATGGGATATGTATGGCAGGAAGGACAACATGCACCTGCTGAGGTAAGACACACAAATGACAGACAGTAAAATGTTTACATTTCAATCAGTAGTGCTCTAGCTGTTTGACCTACAAGTATAGTGCCCCATGCACACATAGAAGTATTTTTACTTTTTGTCCACTTGTCAACTGCATTTTTAGGTCACAGAAAATGGAGATTTTTTTAAAAAGTCCTTTAAGAGTGAACTTTCAGAAATTCAGCTTATGCATTTATATACGGACAAGGAAAAAGAAGACTTTGTAACACTTTATAACCAAACACTATTAAGCATCAGTAAGGTATTAGTTGATGCATAATTCATTCTTTATGAAACATTCAAAGGTGGATTTAGAGGAATTTTCTTAGCGTGGCATGAGGGTGTCATGGAAACCAAATGGAGTGGGACAATCAAAGCCATTTTTTTTTTACACATATGCAGATGTTACATTCTGTAATATGAATGATATATGGTTAAAATATATCAAATGCAGTAAGTATACACATGTTTCACATTTCCTTTAGCCCACACAATTAAACATTTCAATTACATAAAAAATGTGAGTTTTGATTTTATGTACTATACAGCCTATACTAAATAAGTATGTAACGAAACAAGTATAAAATCCAGAAAGCTACACAAAATGGGGTGGTTCATTTACAAACACGTCTAACTTATGTTTCACACTCCTTTACTCATTGGAAATAAGAAAATAGTTCCATGCTTAAATTTACACAAAATGCCAGAAATCTGCATGGTCATGGACACATTTTTCATGATAAACCTATATATGTATTTTTTTTTTTTTGCAATGACTCAGTGTGGGTGCAGCTTTTTGCTATGTCAGATTTATTCGGTCAGGTCATTTACAGGTGAAGCACATCTGTTAAACCGAGAGGGTTAATGAGGCTTACCTTTGTTCCGTTGCCAGAGTGTATCAACCACCAATGTTGTCTGAAATGCCTTTGTTTGGTGTTGGAACAAAATGTGCTCTTGCATAATTATAGACATCGGTTGCTACTGACAACAACAAACACAGCCAGCCTGCAGTAGGTTTATTATTAAAATAAACAACACTGTTACATGCAAAACTAGGGTGACACTTGGAGTGGGACATACCACCCCATGCCACTGCTGAAAACATCCAACTCCTTTTAATTTTTTTTAATGCATTAGCTTATCTGGCTAAAGCTAGCTAGCTGACTACAGCTGACTACAAACTAAAGCGAAGATAAACTCGAGGAACAAACTAAAAATAAAGTAAAATATATATATAAAATAAAAAATGTTTTATTTTATATGCAGAAGTTTCAATATAAGTTAAAGTACTCTGTTGCTGTCTTAAACCCTCCTACAAACTCTGGTGCTGCTCACATTTCAGTTTTCTGCAAATATTTAGTAAGCAATATTTGCAGCTTCCATTAAATATTAGCATGTTGTATCATTTTGCTCTTTGTTTGTATCCTTTTCTGTTGTGAAGACAGATGAGATGTGTTTGATTCTTAAGGTCCTGGTGACCATGAGATTATTTTATAAATGCTTTGCAAGGTAGAGAGTGTCCTCATTTTAGATGAAATAACACACAATACTTAATTAACAACTATTAACTGCTTGAATTAACCATGAATTACTAAAGATTTAACGTTTATATCTATGTTTATAAATGGCATACGCAGGTGGATTAATGGTTCATAAATGACGAATAAACTATTAATGAATCCATTACTTGTGCTTAATAGTGTGTCGTTATTAGAAATTGACACAGTTTTATCTTGCTATTTCATAACACAAAAAATAAGCATTTGTTAACAAAACATAAACTAAAACTGATGGGAATGTCATCAATGTGGTAGATAGAGGCACATTTACATTTTGACTAATGGTGCTGCAGGGCTTAATTTGACCATGACTAAACCAAATTTATATTAAGCAGGAGGTGACATATTTCACAGCAAAAGTGAAACTTTTCACTAGCTAATGCTAAATAGAAAGTAGAAAGGGAAATCATCAGACAAATCAGCCTGGTCAAAACTGCTGGCGCGGCCAAAAGATAGTCACTACAATCCCTGAAATCTTAGTGAGCCTGCTGGATTGAAACTTCACTGTTATGGTTGTTTGATAGATACTCCCAAAGGCTCTGGCCCTGCCTTTTTGGCTGGTATCACGCAGACTTGGCCTTCCACCGATCCTGACATATGCAGATTCAGTTTTAGCCAACTGGAAGTTAAAGGATCCCACAGGGTAATCCTTTTTCTTATTTAATGCCAAAATATTAGGCAGTCTCGTTAAATGCAATAATAACCTCACAGTGAAATTCTAATAATTGCTACTTCTTTCTTTTACTTTCATTTCAGGGATATGAGAATTGGGTAAGTATCACTCTGGACTGTTATGTAATCTCATGTGTCATGTGGTTTTTACTCATTTGTTTGCTAAATATTATTTTTAAAAATAGGAACATGGACCTGATATTTTCCTTCCCTGGTGGTGACACTTGCAGGGGATTTTTTATTGTGTCACTGCTGGTTGAGATGGCGGCTTCACCCGGCATAATGGTTAGTATTACTTCTTTTGAAGTCTTTCTGAACATTAGCTTGGTGTTTTCAATTTCTCTATTCCCTGGTCCACAAACTGTGTGTGCTTTTGCCACTTGTAACTTGGTAATGCTGTTTAAACCTTTGACTTTAACCAGGGGGCGCTGGAGGTGATGCGCGCCATTAAAGTCTCTGACCTCACTGGGATAAAAAATGGCCTCATCAAAGTAACTCAGTCTTTAAAGAAGATGAAGGAAAAATTCAAATTTATGCACAGTAAGTTTGAATTAAGGCTTGCTCACATGAATTTAATCACTTTACATGCTGTGCTCTTTTATGAAGACAGAGAAATTCAAGGTAATTAGACAACTGAATCTGTGCTATTTCCAGATCACGTGGAGCCAGCTGCATTTCATGGAAAATTGAGAATTTTTGTCTCAGGGTGAGTTTAGCACTGCTACAGTGTTCTCCAAGCTAAGGTTTTCAAGGTTTCAGTATTTCTCTCATGCAGATTTATCTCAGTAAAAGTTATCTTTTTATCTGTTTCTATTGGTGCACTTTATATTTTGTAGGATAACATCTGAAATCGTATCATACATATTTAAATTCATGTACATCTATTAAAAGGAGGTTTGCAGTATAGGTTTTTTGTTTGAATTGTTTTAGATGGAGAGACAACCCAATGCTTCCAAGGGGGGTGATGTATGAAGGTGTGAGCGATGAGCCTATTTTGTTATCAGGTGGGAGTGCTGCCCAGAGTTCAGCTATTCAATGCTTTGATGCTTTGCTGTGCATCCAGCATGAGGAAGAGACAGGTAAGCATGCATTGCCTTCAACCTTTGACCCCTTCAGATGGCTCTCGTGAATAAATCACATTTGTGCAGCCAGCTGATTGCTTTGAATGAGAATGTTTCCAGGATAGACAATTATTTTCATTCTTTCAAGGTCTCTTTTCTGTCCCTTTCACGGATTCTCTCAATCTAGGAGCGTTCCTGACACGCATGAGAGACTACATGCCTCCTGCCCACCGTCAGCTGATAGAAACGCTCTCCGTCTGTCCACCGCTGCGAGACTTCATCTTGTCCTGCTCCAACTCTGACCTCTGTCAGGCCTACAACTCTTGTGTCTCCGCACTGGTGGATTTACGAAACTATCACCTCAATACTGTGACCAAGTACGTCATTATTCCTGGTAACCACGCGCAATCTGTGGGCTGTCCATTCAGAGGTGTGGGTACTGCACTCAACACCACTGGGACTGGTGGATCCAACCTCATGGTCTTCCTTAAGAGTGTTCGTAACACCACTCAAAAGGCACTGATTTTAGAGAGACTATCATAGTCTAGAAACCTCAGTGTATTTCCTGGCACATATATACTGCTCCAAAAAAATTTAAGAAACATTTTTAACTCAGAGTATAGCATCAGGTGAATTAAATTTCTGGGATATTGATCTGGTCAGTTAAGTACCAGAGGGGGTTGTTAATGAGTTTCAGCTGCTTTTGTGTTAATGAAATTAACAGGTGCTTTAGAGGGGCAGCAATTTGACAACCCTCAAAACAGTAATGGTTTTACAGGTGCAGGACACTAACATTTTCCCCTCCTCATCTTCTCTGAATGTTTTTTTCTGTAGTTTTGCATTTGGCTAGGGTAAGAGCCACCACGTTACTGTTAGTACAAAACTTCCAGGACAGCACATCAATGCGAGCCATTGCCAGACGATTTGCTGTCTCTCCCAGCACAGTCTCAATTGCATGGAGGAGATTCCAGGAGACATACAGTTACTTTAGGAGACTTGGACAGAGTTGTAGAAGGTGATATATATATGCCTGATATATGTCCTTTGTGCAAGGAACAGGATGAGCACTCCCATATCAAAATGACCTGCAGTAGGCCACTGGTGGGAATGGTGCTGCCCTGTGCTTTTCAGTAGGTTAGCCCTAAGATCATGTGACAGAGGTGAAAGGGCCTAGAGATGCAATACTGCCTGTAACATTGTTCAGCATGACCAGTTTAGTGGTGGATCATTTATGGTCTGGTGAGTCACATCCTTGCACACACAGACCTCCACAGGCTAGGCAACAGCATCATGACTGCCATTAGGTATTGGGATAAAATCCTTTACCCACTGGCAGACCCTCCACTGTGGGTTATGGCTTTCTCCTGGTGCATGGCGATGCCTGGCCTCAGGGCGTGAAAGTATGCAGGTAGTAGCCAAAAACACAAAGCAAAAATGAAAATCAGCACAAAGACACTTCAAAACGATCGCCATAGTGATTCTACTGTAGAAACCCGAACAGGTAGAAACGGAGGCTGCTGCCTGACTTCTTATCAGTTTGTTAACTGTTGAAATTCAGGGTCACTGCTGGCCTGGGGTTGGCATTCGCTCAGCTTTCACTCTGGGTTCTTGGCTAGCTTAGTGTTAGCATTCTGTCTGGCTAGCCTAATGTTAGCTTGCTATCTGTGCACGTGCTTGCAAACAGCCGATGTTGCAGCATAAAGTATCTGTCTCTGGGAATTGGTTCTTGTCGTGATTCCCATCCCTATTACCCAGTCCATATCAGTTTTCTCTGTATTATTGCCTTTACCGTACAAAAGAGGTAAAGATACTACAATAATACAGCGCCTTGAGGCAACTGTTGTTGTGATTTGGCACTATATAAATAAAACTGATTTGAAGATCGGTTTAAATATCCAGGATTTTTGAACAGTGTAAAAATATGTATTATAACTAAAACTTTTTCATACGCAACACTCTAAATGTAGTTCTAAATCACAAAAAATATCACCATCATTCAAATCAGCCAGATCTTTTCATCCGTATTGAATTTTCCAAGCACTTACCCTGACATTAGTAAATCTTCAAGTAAACTTTAATTTTTTTAGATAAATGATTATTGGGTTTTCACTCTTTGATGGTGTCATGGATGATTTCTAGCACGAATACGTCACTACATTAACAAAGTATTCTGTTTGAAAACTGTACCTCTTTACTTTAATACTACTATCAACAATTTTTTTAATACATTTTCTCGTGGAGAATTGCATGACAAACTTGAGCTATGTTTACACCTATCACATACACACAAAAAGCTCCCTGAGTATTAACACACAGTTTTGGAAGTAAACCTGTTTCTAAGAAATGGGTTTCTCCATAGGTCACAGGACAAAAACAAACTAATGACATATAGTTAGGGAATCCAGCAGCACACATTTTCAACTTTTCCTCCAATGACCTTCCGTGTCTGCCTGAAGACCTAGCTTGTTTTGGCTTCACAGGTGTCACAGTGTGGAGTGGTGAAAGTAAAAAAAATATGAACTTTTACCACAATGCTCTTGTAAGCTTACAGAGTAGTGCAAACTAGTGGAAATAATTATTTCCAATGACTGGTACCATTGTTACATCATGTTTGTGGCAACTAAAAGCTTTTAAACCTACTAATCAAAGCACACTTTATGTTTATATAATCCTTTACATAATCAAGTAAAACAGACTATGAAACAGAGAGGCACTAAGTGTGGTGATTGTTTTATTTTCAAGTGTAATTGTGCTTGTATGCATTTGAACCCTAATATTGTTTTGTTTGTTTCTTGTTGTTTTAGCTCAACTGAATAGTTGCTGAGGCCTTATGATGGTCAAACTCTCTTATACAGAATTGCAAGGTGGAGGGGGTAGTTGTTGAATAAGTGTGTTTCCTCCATTCTCTACTCCCTTTTTCATTAATGAAACCCTCAGTGTTGCTTTATATGGTCACTCTATCAAATTATATGGTCAAAAAGTTAGGTCTATAGAGTATAGAGACTGGTTGATGACTTCTCCCACCAGGGGCGATTTTAGCCCATTTTTTGAATCAAAGCACCCCCAAAGATTTCTTACTTTTTTGACAATATTTACTGTTTGTGTGACACACTACTAAAAATATAAAAAGCATTCAGTACTTGTTTGAGACATAACATTTTAACAACAAAAGTATAGATAAAGTAAACAGTAGCTTACTGTTGTTGCCACTGTCCTGTTTGAAATGGAATGAGAGAAGTTGGTTATTTTGTCATATGTGCATGTGCCAAGATTAAACCCAGGAACAACATTCAGGTAAAAGTGTAAGATCAAATGATCCGTCAATCAAGAATAATGTTGAATCAGTGTTTCAATATTTATATCTTTTATTAGATGTTCATGTGGTTTGGTTATTTGCCTTTTGGCTGAAAATACACTGAGAGAGGACTTTTTTTTTATTAGCGATCTCAATAGTATTTTTTTTTTCATATTAATGTAATTTTTTTCATCTAATTGAATACAATCTATTTGTGTATGATTGTCAGTCCAAAGAGGGAGAGAGGAAAGAGGGGAAAGTGAGGAGAAAGTACAAGGTCAGGAAGAACCAGGTAAAAAAACAGACAGGGAATATTGACAGGCAAAACAGAAACAGTTAAATTGCTTGATAGAGTTGATCACCAAAAAAGTGATAGACAGATTTGCCAACCTCAAGGTGAGGCGACATAGGTTAAAATAAAATAAAAAAATCTGCAGAGCCATAGTAGTATCTGCAGTAAATATCTTTTCATAGATTGTACCACAGGCAAAGTTGCCTCCATTTTTATAATTTTATTTATCAATATTTTGTACATTCGTACATTTCAAGGACTCTATTTTTGGAGTGTATTTTTATATATCTGTATTGTATTATACACACACATTAAAAGTGAGTCTCTGTCCAAAAAATGCACTCGGTTTACTTCTTACTCACTATGATCATCATTCATCCTTTTCCCCCAGTAATTAAGGTTAGGATATGTATATTTTTTTTTTTTATTTCAATCCATTCTTCGTTTGCAGCATTTAAATAACCTTTATCTGATTTGATGGTTTTGTTACTGACTTTTAAAATAGTGTTTTGCTTTTCTTTCCCAAATATGGGGATTAAATTGTGTTAAAATGTACAAAACAGTGATGTCATGTTTTGTGACGAGGACCCAGGCACAGAAAGACTTGGTGAATTTAAGAATCTTATGATTTAATAAATAAATTTGCAGACTTACTCAGAGATGGTAAAATTATGACTGATAACGGAGACGAAGACAACAGACGATGAGGACAGGGAGGAACAGGGGTTTAAATGCACCAAGGAGACAGTCAGAGGGAACTCGGGACAACTGGAGACATTTAAGGATGCAGGGACTGACAGACACAGGGAAGATGTCTCATCGTGACGAGTAAAGTTTATCTTGCCTGGCTGGGCAGCTCTTTGGGTGTTCAGCACCCCCAAAGCTCTGATCCTAGAATCGCCCCTGTCTCCCACTTCAACCACTGGTCAGCTGGTTTGTTTGTAGTTGCGGGAGGGTCCTGGCAGTGGCTTGGTAAAATTGTTTGCAATGAGATATTCCATGCAGCACTGAAAATGATTGAAAACCTGCAATTCCTTGGGTTACTAAAAATTACTGTGTTTGCCTGTTATTTGCATGGAAGACATTGACCTTTCAGCAAAGACTTGGAAGCTACTTGTTAAACAGTAGTGAAACAGTGAACCCAAACCAGAAGAGACCTTTACCTTCAAAGTGAAGTTTGAGTCTTTTGAAACATGTTGGTTTTAGCAGAAAATCGCAACTTGTACTTAGAGGGTGAAAATCCTCTGTATCTGGTTTGCATCACAGTTTTTCAGGTTTCACTGCCATTTGGTGGGTAGTCAGCAAGTGTTTACAGACAAGTCGACCTCTTGGAGCAAACTGTGGGCAACCATGGCTAAGAACCAAAGCAATGGCGATGAGGGTTTTAACTCAGAAACCTCTGGCAGCCTCTTGCCAACTGGTTAGGGGAATACACATTTTTCCTAGCGACCGGAGGTTGCCAGGGGGTTGCCAACTGGTCTCTAGGCCTGTGTGAGTGAAGCCACAGAACGGTTAGGGCTAGGGTAACCATCTAACATTTAAAAGACATACAGTAAGAGAACACTGAATCACCTTCATTTGAAAATGTTTTAATTGTGATGTAGAAACAGTAGAAAAATGCATAATATTGCACATAATCACTAAATTGCACTTTTCCAAGGTACAGATCTTTGCATGGAGATTGTTGACCTGAATAATGTAATCTACAGTGTAATCTAACAATGGGAGGCCAGTGTGAGTCTTCCTGACAATTCTTGTACAATTCCATTCAATTATTTACATGACAGCTGCTGTTATGAAGTGACTGGAGAAATTTAATAAATGCCTGCTTTATAAAAGCGTGCAAGTTTAGTGTCATTGCTACATCATCGGTGTTTTATTTCTGTTTTTTTCCCCTAGTTGACCAAAGCTGGTGGACACAAGTCTTTTCTGCTGTAAGATTGCTACCATTACTTCTTTAGCACTGTATATAGCCCTTCTGCTCTTGCTGCAAGTTCAGTGCACAGTTGTTTGTGTGGGTTGGCGGACATGTGTTTGGCGTTCAAAAGTTTTTTTTTTCCCATTTTACTAAATTGATGAGGATAAATAAATGTTACAAAACAACAGTTGGATTGTTAAAGTAGCTAACTGGACATGAGACAAGTGGCTTAAAATGTATTTGTTTCAAGATTTCACATCTTTGCTGTGACTGAGAGCCAAGACAAACTCTTGGACTCAAGAGAAATGTCAAAATAGCTTTTACTTTCTGTCTGAACTGTTAAACAAAACAAGCCAATAAAGAAATACTCAAAATAAAAAGCAAACAGTGTTATCATAGAAAATACTCTGCCATACAAGTAGTCAAAACATTATATATGCTGTTTAAAAAAATCTAACCCAGAATACTGTATTTTTTATCTATTGTACCTGCTTCAAGAGGAGCGGCCCAAACATACATATTTTTAAAAATTCATTTCACAGTACTTTGCTATAAAGATGAAGATATTCCAAAGTATACACTCTGAATATTTCGTGTCACTCCAAGAACAGAAAATGACAGAATGACTAAAGCAAAGATGGTCAGTTGCACCATAAGCTTAATAAAAAGCTACAAAAGAGAGAAAGAGATAAAGGTGTTACAATAAGAGGAAGGACAAGGAGGAGTTATTAGCAAAGGCAAGGAGATGTTCTGTCAGACAAACAAATTACACAGTATGCTAACAGATAAGGAGGAACAGGAGGGGATAGTAGGGGTTATAAGAACAGCGCTGACATAAAGTCATATAGCGTTTCAGTCTTTTACACATGCTTCTCTCAAAAGTCAAATGTTTGTGCTTTCAGGAAGTGGGGGTGGGGGATGGGGGGCTGATGTCCGTTTAAAGATTAGAGCTTCACCCATTAAAAGACCCTCCACATGGCTCCTCCTCTTGTTGCCAAGCAATATACTCTAAGGGGAAAAGACCAAAGTGCATTGCATTCATTGGAAGGTGAAACAAAGAGATTTCAATATAAAGTGAGAGGTGCATTGAGCCAGTACGTGAATAACGGCCATTTTTACACAGATTTTAAAAATATATGCGCAAAAATGTATGTCAAAGCTCACCTAGTTTTTGCAGATGTGTGTCGATCCTGTCCAGCAAA